TCAACAAACCCCTGTGGGAGGCGCGTGTATGTGATTTGTTTACCTTTAAAAGTAAATGCAAACAGATACTGGCTGTCTGGATGCAGAGGAACAGAGAAAAATGCTGAACATAAATCAATCACTGTGTAGTACTTAGAGTCCGGGGGCAGAGAAGCTAAAATCGAATTGGTGTCCGGCACAATTGGAGCTGTCGGAATGACAATAGCATTAATAGCTTGCAAATCCTGGACAAAGCGCCACTCATCAGGGCGATTGTGTTTAGGTATGGGTAGAATTGGAGTATTACAGGGACTAGTTGTGTAAATTAACACGCCCTGATCAAGCAAAGATTGGATTACTCCTTCAATCCCCAAAATGGCTCTATGGGGCAAATTGTACTGTCTGATAGCTGGCAATCTGGCATTGGCTTTAAGTGTTACTCGATGTGGAGGCGCTGAGGCAACAAACCCAACATGATTCTTGTGTTTTGCCCATAATGCAGCCGGTACTTCTGAAAAATCTGAGGGGGGGCCATACTCTGTGGGGGGGTTTGGTTGTAAATGAAGGAAAGTGCTTTGGGGGAGAGCAATTGGCTCCGCGAGACGCAGCAGGAAATGCTCCCCTCCAAAGTTAATTACGTTAGGTGTGTGTGTGTGTGTGTGTGAAAAAAGTGAGGCTTCCAGCTGGGCCTGGCAGCGGGCTGCCATGGCCCCCACCTCTTTTGGGTTACTGCCTGGCGTAACAGCCACCGTTATGTAGGGGAGGCTTTCTTCAACATGGAGAACCTGCTGGGGTGTTGTGAGTCTGATGGGTAAAACACATCCTTGTCGGGAAATGAACAAATATTGTTCACTTGTCAACCGATCTGATTTGTTGCAAAAACCTCTTACTGATTGCGCGTAGTCATCTGACGGATTAAAGGCTGCTGTGCAATGACAATTCAACACAGGTCGCATAAGAGACATTAAAGACGCACAAACCGGAGAAATGCTAGCAATCTTCTGAATCCCTGTTGTGGAGAAAACAGAAATCATATTGAAATCTGGAAATGACCAACAATAAAGGTTGTCTCGCGATGATTGAATGAATCGGACTGCCTGATAGACCTTACTGTCAGGAATTGTGAAAAACAATCCGTCTGAAGTGCAATGTATTGTTGCCTGTAATTTACATAGTAAGTCCCTGCCCATTAAATTAATAGGACTTCCATCTGAAATAATGAAAGAGTGTTCCACGTTTGATCCATTAATTGAAACATTAGTGTTCTCTGAAATGGGTTCGGACATAGAAATTCCAGCAACACCGATGGTTGTGACAAATGTATTGGTTGCTTCACACACTTTCTCCTTAGTACGCACGGCAGACAAGGTGGCTCCACTGTCAATCAAAATATCTACAGCCGTACCACTAAAATCAACGGGCATAATTGGATCTTCACGCGGGTTATTGGAAAGGCGAATTGTTGCTGCTTGAATGGGTAAATGCTGTGATTCTGATCCTATATCTTCCTGGCACCACTATCTTCTATTAAATCCACTTTGTTGAGCGTTCTGCCCCTGGTTCTGTCTGTCATAACGTGGAGGCTGCATCAATGCCAGATGTCCGGACTGCTGGGGGAGGTTAGGGGGAAGTGCGGGCTGGGAGAAGGGGGGCTGGGTGAGGGGGGGCTGTGTGTGCTGCTGGACCCCCCACCGCTTACCACACTGTCCTGCCCAGTGATCGGTCTCTCTACAAACATGACATGGCATCAACTTTTTGGGATTTTTGTTCTGCTGTCTGCTCTTATTATGATAATCCTGTGATCTCCCCTGATTTTGATACTGCTGTGGGTGGTTTTGTCCCTGCGTTTGATAAGCCTGGGTGTTTTGAGGCAATTGTTGAAGCAGTTGTGAAATTCTGGGAGTAAGAAATATTTGGCTCCTATGCAACGCACGCATTGTGGCGATAGTCGCTTTCCAAGATTTAATTTGCCAATCCGGAGTTGACATCATGTAGGCTTGAGCTATCTCTGGGATTAAATTATGTAACAAGGTCTGTATGGCAAACAAATCATTACCCTCTCTTTTAATTCCCGCATTATTATCCCACACTGTCATGAAACGCTGGATAAATTCAGGGACATTTTCCGCTGGGTCTTGTACACAAGCCGTCACTTGTAAGAAATCTGTGTGAGTTTTAGCGCATGCTCTGATAGCCAATGCAGCGACGTTTTGTATCCACGTGTCTCGCGTCTGTGTCGTGGGCCAGTCCCCTGCGGGTACACAGGAAATTTAAACTCGTCTCTGCACGTGGGCCAATCTGCCTTGTATGTTAAGATTATCAGCTGTTTAACATCATGAACCAAACAGTTATAAACTGAACAAACATTAGTCAACCATGACAGATACTCATCTGGACTTTTAGTGGGACTGGGAGCGTGATTAGTGACATCAATGACCTCAGCGAGTGTCCAGGGTTTGCAAACTGGAACCTCTCCTATCAGAATTTTCGGGGCGGTCACACTTTCTTCAGAATTATTATCCTGAGATGTTTGCTTTGTCGTGTACATTTTACGCTGGACATGTTTTGGAAAACTGCTGCCGTACGGCGAACCTGGGTAATCTTGTAAAAGGAGTGGTGGAGTGCGAGGAGTGGGGGTCAATCGCGGACTGCCATGTGAAACATTCCCATCCCCCGCTGCTGCTGGCCTCTGCTCGGCTTGTGCCGATTCTAATTTCCTATGTTGTTCTCTCTGATATCTCAACCCATTTTCATTCATGATAGCTGCAGCTGTTATTAACAGATCATCATCGGAGTTTCTCGCAACGGGATTTGAGAGTTCTGTCGCGGGAATTATTTTCGTACAGAGAGATACAGCCTGCGTCTGTCAAAATACAAATGAGCTGAGATGGGGTTGGAGTTTTACCTTGTCTTTTAATCCAATCATAAATTATGGATTTTGCAATGTCTGGAACATTCTCACCGTGTCTTTCCCTGAATCTGGACATGTTTTCTGATCTTACATCAAAAGCAGCCTCTAGGCTAAGCAAATGAAAACTTTTTGCACATTGAGCAACTTTATCAATAAGCGCCTTGAGCTCAATGGAGCCTCGCTCGCTGCCAACAGATTTAGCATTTTTCCTTTCTTCATAACCCCGCTTTTCTGCCAAAGTCATCCAGGCTTTCACACATTCTGTCATGTATTTCTGATCCCATGAACAATTTGAATTATCTTCCACCAGTTTAAATGCTTGCCACAACACGGCCATATCAAAACTACCTGTCAGAGGCCAATCAAATTGAATCAATCCTTTCTGATTAATCTGTTGTGAGTGTTCGCAAAGTAACGATGTAAACGGCATAACTTTAGACCAATCCAAAGTTCTTCCGACAATTCCAGACGGCATGTTTGGAGAAAACAAATGCGTGTAGTGGTTTTCTGCAATCGGGTTTTTTTTAAGTGTCTTTGTGCGTGAAATGGTTTTCCTCTTACCAACTGAATCGTTTGTGGAGGCAGTATTACCCATGTTTAACGGTTAGTACAATAAAAACAAACACTGCAATTAGACAAACAAACATGTACTCGCAACAAAATCAGTGCCCTGGCCAAAAATCATCCAGTTTAATTTAGTCCGAGAATTACGGAAACGTCAACGGGAGCACTGAAATATCTGTTTAATATGGGCTCTTCTCAGCCATATTCAATCTGTTGATGAGCAATAAACTACCTTATTCTCAATCAAAACCACTATGCAAATGTAGTGATAAAACTGCTCAACCGACCGAGAGCAGCGATTGTTTTAATTAATTCAGTGCTTTTTAAAAAAAAAAAAAAAAACAACAGCCAATTCAATAATCCGTTAGTTTATTAAACACAGTGTGAACGTAATATTCTGCCACGACCCTTCCCATTTAATAGCTCAATTTAGTTCTTGAGCTTATGGTGTGATTAACAGAAAATACAAGTCTGTGTTCTTAAACATTACTTGTGTGCCGTTCACCACAGGGGGGAGGGGAATTCGCCCTCCCTCCTGCAGGCCTGAGCAGACACCCGAAAACGGATTGGTCTGATTTAAACCCGTTGAAATTTCCAGAATTCGGCAATTTGTTTCAATTACAAATCCTCACATTGCTTCTTTTTTTTTTTTTAAAACAGAGGTTCCACCTTGCTGATGCTTTCCTTAAGGTCTCTCCGAATATTTGCAGTGTGTGATTGTCCAGTAATTTAATTCTAGAAACCACACACAGCGGAAATCGTTAAAAGTCGATGTTCCGAGGTTATTTATTAGCCCCAAATATTCTTATTGTTTATACATGAGCTGTGCTTGCTTTTGTTGGCACATGCCCCAGCAGCATTCACAGGAAGAACCGGCCAGGATAAAATCCCCTTTTGACACCGATTCCTCAGGTTATGATTAAGCCTTCCGATGTACATAGTGGAGAGACCAAAACAAATTGCACTCGCGCAGTTTCACAGATAATTTTGATACCGTCAATCACAGAGTCTGGTAAGGCAGTTGTTCAAATAGATTTGAAAAAAAGAACTTACCAGTCTTCTGCAGAAATCTCGGTATCCTATTCGTAGACGCCAAAATGTGAAGGTAAACTTCTGTTGTTGCAATGTTGAGGTAGAATGAAGGAGTCTGGAACCGTTGTTAGCCAAAAGCACTGAGAGTTTTATTGGAGAAAGTACAGACAATACGGCCGGGAGATCATCTTAGTTTCACACATGTCCAGTGCTCCACCAGCGATCTCTGAACCAAAAGACACAAAACATCTAACCAACACGAGGAGAGGCCGGCCCATAGAAAGCCCGCGTTTACCTAATCAATAGCCGATGCGAGACAATGGTCTACTTGTCTCAAAGAGATCCAGACAAGCCTCAACATCCCCCACGGATATAGGAGAAGCGTTTGACCTGTGACCTCAACCCACAGAGGAGTCTTTGAGTGACTACAAGCAGATGTTTGCAGTATCACAGACTCTAAGGAATAATAAGAGACTCTATAAACAGATCAGATTAAAATATTCTCTTACACAAAGGGCGGTGTTTCATTAGGAAATACTGGTCTCAACCCCGGTGAAGAAAACAACAGAACCACTATCACAAATAGACTATGTTGGTAAAGGTGTTGTTTGTAGTGACCCTGCTGGGTCTGACGCTAATGACTATAAGACAATTGAGTGAGGAATCCTCAACAACAAAAAAAGGTCCATCGAGAGAAAAAATGGTCATTACTCAACGATGACCCATGGAACCACAACGACAAAACTGCACGCTCACCTAGGATGACAAATGCCTGGTATGCCTATGTCCATCAACTTGTTACAAAGACAGGGCGTTCAAATTGTTATGTTGTTCCCACATGCCATGGTCAACTGGACAAGTAACTCTGTATGGTAAAAGGATGAGTAAATCACAAGCTAAATGTTTTGCTACCATGGGAGGTGTAGGATACCAGCACTCAGGGATAAAAGTCAACGATGTGAATCCATATGCCCCAGGTTTAAGCAATGGCACTTGTAATAAGATATTTTGGGTGAACTTTAACATGACAGTGCCGCGTAAAATGACAGGACAAAAGGTAGTCATGCCAAATAATGAAGCTATACACCCTATGTGTTACAGTCAGACAGAAGGTTCTGTACTAGAGATGTTAAGATTCACCGATTCGCATCGGTGCACCGGCATAAACGTTCAAGATGTGAGTGCACCGGTTGAAAGAGTGCACATCGGCTACAGTTTGGGTTGAACCGGGTTGAACTCGCGATGCATCGATTGCGTAGCGTCTTTGCATCGGTAAAAAACCGATTCATTCATATAAAATCCCCTAATCTTGTCAACGCTCAGCAGATACGATCTTTGATATCTTCGCCACTACGGAGGCCGAGAGTCTCAGTTATCAACACACACGGAAGTCGAGGAGAAAGAGAAACAGCGCACCGAAAAATACCTACAAATCAAACGTTTGGCAACACTTCGGATTGTTCAAGAAAGACGGTGTAATAGTCCTTTATGCTAGGCTATATAGTTGACCGCAGGTCATGGAGAGTAATAAGGTATCCGTAGACCTTTGTATGAGGTATCTTTATTACTTAACAGGTCTACAGCCATGATACATAGATCCGTCCTAGATGCGGGCTTGCATACACACAGTATCACTCCGCAGCCGCACCCCATCAGTAACGTCCTGATGGTATATGTGTATGGTATATGCACAGACGGTCAACTTGAAAAATCGCTCGCAAATTGTTAACGATGCCGAGCCGATTTAAAGTACACAAGTAGTACGAGGAACTTAGCGACGCACATAAAGAGTCGACATGGGGTCTGCGGCTGAAAAGAGAAACCTCAAAGTTAGACATATGAGTTAAATCACTCAGTGAGGTGTTCTGTCAGAGAGAGTGGTGTTTAGTTTACAGCAGCCTGTGACGGCCAATAATAATTTAAATGTATTCCTCACTGTAAGCAGTTATGAAATACCTGTTTGTGAAAGGTTATTTGTATTATTTATTGTTCATATAGAACCCACCGCTTTCTGCTCACTGGTGAGTTAGCCTATGAATGAGTGTTAAGCACATCAGGCTGGCATGGTATGGGCATTGCTCTATGGTAGCTGTTATTTGCACATTGTTAATCATGAGCAATGCATCCTTACATTGTTTAACTGTGAGGTGTTATACAATTGTACTCTGGAGAGCTTTTAAAGGTAAAAAAATAAACGGCATGATGGGATGTGCAGTACCAAATATGTAAAGCACTTTTTTGTTAATGTATGATTTGCTGCATATAAGGAATAAAACAAAAATCCTCTGTCGTACCAAATTGAAGTATCATTATTTTTGCATCGTGTTGAATCGCATCGTATCGCACCGAATCGCATAATGTTGAATCAAATCGTATCGAACTGTATCGCAACAGGGGTGAATCGTATCGTATCGCATCGCCTGGTGTTTCAAATGTATCGTTAATGTATCGTATCGTGGCAACGTATCGAGATGCGCATCGTATCGGCCTCAGTGATGGAGATGCACATCCCTATTCTGTACCAATGGGAAACACCACTGGTTGTAACCAGACACTTGTTAATGGCGAAGGGGCTCCAGTCTATTTGAGCAAACAATCTAATGGTACATGGTGGGTACAAGGAGGATGGTGGCTGTGTGGCAACAACGCTTATCCAGTTCTGCCAATAAATTGGACAGGCACGTGCGCACCAATATTTGTTAGCGACCACACCTTCGTGATAGACATAGAACCATACCTTAACCACACCCGCAGGAGGAGAAATGCCATGCCTGCCTTCAAAGAACATGATTCAGTATGGGGAAAAGATGTCCCTGATGAATTCAAACACTGGTCCACCAGTGGAAAGGTAATATTAGCATTGACTCCTGCCTTAGGCGTAGCAAAGAACATGTTGAGACACGAAACCCTTGATTACCGGTTCGGCATGTTTGTAAATAATTCCATCGTTGTAAACAAACAACAGAACCTCAAACTAGACTCACTCAGAACCATGGTGCTACAGCACCGCATGGCCCTTGATCTACTCACTGCCTCAGTAGGAGGTACGTGTATCCTTTTGAACACAATCTGTTGTACATATATCACCGACAATGTCCACTCCCAAAACATGACAGATGCAATGGCTAATCTCAAAGCCCTACAGACAGTTATGGGCCAAGACAGACATGCCTCTCTTGAGACCGGATCGTTCAATTGGCCACTCTCAGGGAGCTGGGTTCAAAAGCTTGTGATGGGATTTGTTGCAATCATATGTGTTCTCATCCTGGTGTGCTGTGCTATGGCTTGTATTATACCATGGGTTAAAGCTATGGTTGGTAAAATAGTTACCAACACTCTTGTCCAATATACGATGTTGCAACAGACCGATAACGGTGACTATACTGACACAGACCCCTCTCAGAAGGACGAATATACTCACCTAACCTCCAATGTGTAAGACTTAAAGCTAGGTTACTGTCTGTCATATGACGAATGGTTCGAAAATGTCAAAAACAAGTGAATTAATTCTGAAAGTAATAAAGACACTGTAACCAGCTAGTAATTATGAAAAACAGGAGGGAATGTTAGAGTTTATTGAAGGATAAAAATGTGTTTTCATAATGTATTCTCATTTGCTGTGTTACAAAATGTGTTGATGGAGGAACAAAGCATAGTCTGTTTAAAATGACACACACACACACACACACAGATTCACATGACTGAGAGTCATAAGATTCACACTAAGAAATAAGGCGTTGGTCAACACCACATGATTGTCATGTTACTGTATTGTTGAAATAAAAAGAATGTGCCAGGAGAAGGCGAGCAGAGTTGGTTATGGAGTTGACATGACATGTCACTCGCTGATTCTCCTTGCAGCAAGTAAACTTGAAACTCGAGTACTGTTATCTTTGTTCACTGGGTTTTGGTATATTTGAACCGAGCTGGGGTTTACTCTTACAAAGTAATATAGAAATACCCCACACCAGTCAGTATTCTCCGGGAATAAAAGACCCACACCGTCCTTTTCTCCGGATTAAGGACAGGCTGGTAACTTCTTTTTCTCCCGACCTACCTGTTGAGAGCGGGTCCTCTCCACGCCATGAGGCGAACAAGATGGACGCCCCTCTCCCTCACACCAGAGGAGTCAGGGACTCGGTGGCTCGACTCTGCGGCTGCGGGTTGAAGATCTCGGGCACAGACACACACCAGGTCTGCTCGTCCTGCCTCGGGCTGGAACACGCCCGAGGCGCTATCGACAATCCCGGCTCGTGCGGACATTGTGTCCGCTTCATCGTAAAGAGCCTCCGCCGAAGGCTAGCACGCCAAGCTAGCCTGTCGGAACAGGACCCCCCCATGTCCTCTGACCTGCCGGCCGGCAGTCAAGACGCGGGGGCATCCGCCACAGAGAGTGAACCCCTCTCCATGTCGGTCTGGGGCTCAGTATCTGCGATGGCCGCAGAACCGGATTCCCGCGCCCTGGCAGGCCGGGACCCGGTGACGGCAAGACACGCGGGAACGGGACCCCACGCTTTACCGAGCTGGGGCTCCCGGTTAGACCTCACCATGGTCTCACCCGCGGAGGATGTCCTCGAGCTGAACTACGACGAGGACGAAGAGGACGCCTCGGTGTTCCTCCTGTCCGAGTCGGATGAACATGAAGAGGACATCTTCATGTCATCGGCTCAGGCTGCAAAGCCTGGAGCGAGGGCTGCTCTCCCAGACGATAGCACACCAGCTTCGCCCTGTCTGAGCATGGACCTGCAGGCCGTGTGCAAACGCGCTGCGGCCAGACTCGACATCCCGTGGCCTGAAATGGCCAAGGAGACCTCCAGGTCCCGCTACGAAGGGAAACATTTTCCCCAAGCAGCGCGGACAAAGAGGCAACTCCTTCCGGTCTTCCCGGAGATGTTGGATGAGGTGTCGGTCTCGTGGAGAGACCGGCCCTTCAGCAACAAGGTCCCAATCCAGGGTGCCTCCTCCCTAGACTGTGACGGAATGGAGAAGCTCGGCCTGCTCCGCATACCGCCCATGGAACCGCTGGTAGCAGCCCACCTCCTACCGAGGATGGGCCCGTCACCAAGCAGGAACCCCACGCTGCCGGCAAAGTCGGACCGATTTCAGTCGACAATGACTGAACGGTCCTACAAAGCCGCAGCGTTGTCCGCCAGGGCCCTGAATGTGGCCTCGCTGCTAACCGCTTATCAAGCGGAGCTCTGCAAGGACCTGTCGGGTAACCCGGGGGCAGCCACTCAGGACGAGATGGCAGCGGTCACAGACATCTGTCTCCGTGTCCAACGCTGCGCCGTCCAGGCCACGGGTAAGGCAATGGGGATCATGGTGGTGCAGGAAAGAGCGAGATGGCTCAACCTCACCAACCTCCCAGACCGGGAAAAGGAGGATGTGCTGGATATGCCCATCGTTCCCGAGGGAATTTTCGGCTCCGCTCTTGCTTCCATGCAAAGGAGGTGTGAGTCGAAAAAGAGGGAGGACGAGGCACTCCACCTCTGCCTCCCTCGAAGGGTCCAGCCGCTGCCTTCGCAGCAGCAGTCCTTCGCAGCAGCAGTCCTTCGCAGCAGCAGTCCTTCGCCCAAGCTGCCTTGAACCCTGCTCGGTTTAAAACACCGAAAATGCAGAGGTCGCAGCCCGCCCCGAGTCCCCAGCCCAGGCTGGAGATGAGGGCGAGCTGGCCCAGAAAATCTCCGGTTCCGGCTGCAGCTCAGGCGCAGCCAACCCAGAATTTCGGCCAGCAGGCGAGGAAGAAGAAGCGAGCGGCGTGACAGCCCCTCCTTCTCCCCTCCGTGACAGAGCTGGAAGTCCACGGTTCCCCAGCTCTAAATGTGTTCCCGCCGCCTCGAGAGATGCCTCAACACCATCCTCAAGTCCGCAAAAACACATGTCACAAATCTGTTTGTTCCTCTGTCATAAAACATTTGCCGCTGACGCATCCAGGCTTCAGGCCGAGGGCGCAGCTCAAAAAAATGATAAGAAAAACAATAAAACCAATAAACAGCCCGTCAAACTGTTCCCCTTCTGAGAGCAGCTACGGCATCTCTCAAAAGGCGGATTACAGGCGGGTC